CCTCTCTGGTAAACTGGGGTGAGTAAGATATCAAGAGAAAAGATATGAGTGTGGACTCTTTAGGAGAAGGTGTGGCTCTGGAGAAATTCTTGAGATGGGTATGTCCTTATGTCTTCTGGTCTTCTGTCTGAATAATACTAGTATCCCAAATGTTGATGGGCAACTACTAGGCTAATGAAGGGTGATCAGTTATCTGGATTGCTGGGGCAGGATCTGATGGGGAACAAATGAAGAGGGGAAAACAAGGCTCCTTATATACAAAATCTGGGGAGTGGCCAGCTTGTGGTTGGAAACATCATGGAACAAAATGGAACAAGAGAAAATTATCAAACTGAAACAATGTGGCCCAATTGGTAGGCACTAAGATGAATAGAGGAAATGACATCAGAGACATGCAGGGATGAAATGTGCCACAACCAATGAGGGAGGAAGAAAATACCAAAGAGACAAATGAACTAGCCAGATGTGTACTAGTGTGAGACATGAGAATAACCCAAGAGGAATAGTGTGAAACAATAGATTGTGGCCCAAAGTGGAAATGATGCTAGAGTGAAAATGGAATAGAATGAAACACATGCAGAGGCCAAGTGTGGAAGGCTGAATGGGGATTGATGATGTAAGACTGCATGAGAGGATTATGTAATAAAGAAAGGTGATGGGGAATCGAGTGTGTTTCTCCAGGGGGCTTGGTCTTGTGACATTGATGGTGTTGCAGGTTAGCTGAATATTCCAGAAGGGGCTTGTCTTGGTCCTTGAGGGTCTTGTCATTCAGAGGGCTTGATATTGTACTTGAAGCTTTGATTTTGTGGGCCTCTTATTCATGATTGGCTTACCACAGCGTCTGTTCCATTGTCGTGTAAAACATCTCCGCATCAAAGCATTGAAGATGCTTGCATTGGCTTGAGCGAATTAGAGTCTTGATCCGCATAAAGACCACTGGATCCTTCAGCGTCAGTTTGGAGGCTGACGTGATGATATCTTCATCTCCCGCACTGGCAATGACTGTTGATTGAAAAAAGTGATCTTCGTTAGTTTATTGGCGTCTCTGATGCTCTTTGCAGCTTGAAACCGTTTCTTCTCATTCTGCCCAACTCAACTCTTTTGTAAAACTTGGTTGTGTGCTCGTTTTTGGTTCGCTTTCAAGTTCTTCATCAGCCCATAAACGCCATAATATTTGACTAAATAGATCACAAAGAAGAACCTCTAGATAAGAAGAGAAACAACGATTAGATTACAAGAATCTATGTGTATATGTAATGTATGAAAGTGAAAGCAAGAACCTTATCAGAGTTAGAGTAAGCGATTTTGATTTGATTAGGTCTACCTTCCTTCAAATCGAGGGCCTGACCGGATCCATTTTTACCAGGGACTTGAGCAAGATTGGGAGGAGGAGCTGAGTTTCGCGGACGTCTTCGCGGGTGTAACCGGAGGTATTCCCGACCGGAACTTCTGAATTGCTTAAGGCTGAAGAACCTGACGGAGTAGAAGAGGAAGAATGTTGCGGTTTAGGGGGAAAGGGAGAAGAGCGAGCTTTGATCTCCTCATAAGACTCTTGCAAGCTATCGAAGAACTTGCTCATCCTACCACGTTACTCATGATTAGAAGGTTGAAGAAGCGCAGACGAGGTGCTGCTCAAGTTCAGAAGGTTCTTATTTGGCCTGGCATGGATGAGGTATTCGGGAGAACAAATCGACGAGCCAGCAAGAAGATTATTGGAAGGTTGAGTGGCAATCGGCAGAGGGTTGGAGGAGGAGGAAGCCAACAAGATAGGGGATGGGAGCAGATTAGGGCCAGAGCGTTGTGGTATACCTTCAGGGTAGCCATCTGGCCCATTTAAAAATTTTACAGTTTTTTCTTTTACTACAAATTACATACTTTTTACACCTTTTTTTCTCAAACAGACACTCACAAATCAACCATTATGGCTCAAGAACTGGA